TCGGACTTGACTCATAGTGACCCCTCGAGTCGGACTCGACTCACAGTGATCGCTCCTTGGGTTTCTGAGGTGGTATCACTGCGGAAGTTGATTGCCCAACCTTCCTTCCGAGGAGTGGCTGGTGGGTTTGAACTGCCAGCTTTCTGGTTAGCAGTCAACTGCCTTAGGCACTACGCTACCAGAACTCATTTGACGAGTAGCGACTGGGATTTTAAAAGCTTGCAAGCAGCCATCTAGATGCAACAATGGGTGTCTCCTTGTCCAGAGCAAAGAAGAATGAAGAAAACCAAAAATTAATCCAAGGGACTGGTACACCATGCTATCCTTAGCCTGACCATGAAACTAGAAGAATTAGATGGTGCCTGCCTACCACTGTCAACCACTTGGAAGGAGCATCTATGTAGGAGATCCTGGATAGAGTGGGAGAACAATGTGGAACAAAACACAAAATCATTATAAAAAAAGAGACCAGGTTTGCTGGTCTGATAGAGCCTGTTGAGATCCTAAAGACCCCAGCTACCCTTCATATCTAGAATTGAATTCACTCCTGTGGCTTCCAGCCAAATAATAAACAGGCATATTGGATAAACATTTACATCACATAGATACACTACTTGGAGTGATCAATCATGGGAGAACAGAAGGGCAGTGTTTGTACAAGGAGACAGCTCAGGGGGCAGGAATGCATGGAAGTAAGGACACAGGGAAGCAGCAACTAATGGGAAGAAGTGGGAAGAGAACTGTTACATTGTGGAAACTGCAGTCAATGTCATAAGACAAAATGTATATCAACTGTTGTATGGAAAATGAAGTTGGCTCTGTAACTTTTACTCAAATCACAATAAAAAATTTTAAATAAATAAATAATCAGTCATCATCCATATACATGTTTCTTTGAAGATAAGTTTTGGTGTGGCGGCTTAACACATATTCCATTTGTCTTTGGTTTTCATGAGAAATAACTATGTACTAATGATGTGGTTTACTTTACATGTATCCATTCTATTACTCATTGAACATCTTCAATCTGTGATGCTCCTGATAAATTTTAGAAAACCCTCAACCACTAATCAAATATTACTTCTGCTTGTTCTTTCATTCCAAGGTTCTTTTACACATGTGTTATTGTTGTTGTTGTGTTGTTAGGAGCTGTCAAGTCAGACCCGACTCACAGTGACCCCTCCTTGGGTTTCTGAGGCAGTATCACTACAGAAGTAGATTGCCCTACTGTCCTTCCAAGGAGTAGCTGGTGGGTTTGAACCTCCAGCCTTCTGGTTACAGTCAAGTGCCTTAGGGACTATGCCACCAGAGCTCCTCATGTGTTAGAGCACTTCATTTTTCCCACCAATCTCTGACATTCTGTTCTTCTTCCTTTTAAATTTGTTTCACATCTCTGTTTCAGTTAGGATAATTTCTCTTGACCAATCTTTTGAGTTCACTAATTATTTCTCTTGATGTGCCTTGTCTGTTGTTAAGCCTAACCTAAATTTATCATTTTATATTTATAGTTCCAAAATGTTGCTTAGTAATTTTTTAGATGTTGAAGTTTTCTGTGGAATTCTTCAACTTCTCATGCATTTTTTAAAATTTTTGTCTAATATTTTTTTAAAATGTAGAATGGTTATTTTAAATGTTTGCTGATTTCTCAAGTGAACTGCCATTCGTATGCATTTATTAACTATTTTCCTTTTAATTATGAGTAACAAAATCCTACTTCTACCATATCTCATAATTATTTATGTAAGTTACACATTGTATATGCAAAGCAAAGAGCTCTAAGGTGATATATTCTTCCAGAATCCATTTAATCTTTTCTCTATTAGACACACAGGATTAAAGTGGATCACCTGAATCCAATCAAATACTGAGCTGACTTGAGTCTAGACTGTAGATTTTGTAAGACTCAATACATTCTAGTTTATCTCTGTTTTTCACTTATGTTTCCTTTAAGTTTTGATTGTTATTCTAATGGGCCTCCTTCTCCTCAGCTTTGAGATTTCCAGGGATTCAATTTTGTCCTTCAGATTTTTTTAGATTACCACTCAAGCTTTCTTCCATTTCCATTAGCTTCAAACACACAGCAAATTCCTCAAGCAGAAAACTGGTTTTACGTTTGTCTTTTTTAACTTAATGCAGTTAATAAGAATCTAGTTGTGGATATGATTATTAAGCAAACAAATAAATAGATAAAATTCATGAAAAGAAAAAAGTAAATACCACTTACTGTATAATTGAGAAATAATTTTAAATCATAGATATTCAGGCCCAAGTATAGTCCCAAATTTAGCAGGAAATTAAGTTCAATTTTCTCCTTATTAAAGGAAAACACAAATTACACAGATTTCAAAATTGATGAGTTATTACCATTTATTTCAAATAATAATGTAAGGAAGTCTTGGAACCCAAGTCTTGAGCAACAGAAAGGTTACACAAGATACATAAAAAAATATGCCAGTAAGAAATCTAGCCAGTGCAGTTGTTGGATCTTAATAACACAAGCTATGAAATGATTAAATCAACCTCTATTTGAGCTCAGCTTCAAAAAATATTCATTGACTGAGTCATAAGAGTTAAGAAAAATTTCAAACATTATGAAATATGATATCAAGGTATGGATATAAATACATAGATATAGATAAGTGCAGATTCACATGTAGGTAGTGACCTGCTCTAGATGAACTGGGTAGAGAGCTTGAGTCAATTGGAATCGAGACAAGCACCAATGAAAACAAAAGTCACAGTCCAAACCACTGATAACTATGGTCTCAGAGACGCTCCCTCTGGTTGCCTCACCTATCACATGTCAATCTCCTTACATCCCTTCTCACACTCTCTTTTTCCTTCTCTCAGGTTTTTAATTGCACAAACTTTATCTCTTCCAAACAAAATATAACTATTCATATAAAAACCCACTGCTATTGAGGCAATTCTGACCCTTCACAACCCTCATTGGGTTTCTGAGGCAGTGAATCTTTATGGAAGTAGATTGCCCCATCCTCCTTCCACAGACTGGCTGCTGAATTTGAATCACCAACCTTCTGTTTAGCAGTCAAATGCCTTAAGTACAACTCCACCAGAGCGCCTTATGAAAGAGATGACCCTTGTTTAATTTAAACACACTATATGAATAATTGGGAGCTCTGGTAGCATAGTGGATAAGACACTTGCCTGCTAACCAGAGGGCTGGCGGTTCAAACCCACCAGCCACTCCTGGGAAGGAAGGTTGGGCAATCCTACTTCCGTAGTGATACTGCCTCGGAAACCCAAGGAGGGGTCGCTATGAGTCAGGTTTGACTCGACGGCACATAACAACAACAACAACATACGAATAATTAAGGAGCTTTGGTGGTGCAGTGCCTAAGGCATATAACTACTAACCAGTTAAAGCATTTGGTTGCTAAACAAATGGTCAGTAGTTTCAGCTCACCAGCTGCCATGTGGAAAAATGATGAGGTAGTCTGCTTCCATAAAGACATAGCCGTGGAAAGCCAATGGGGGTCGACTTGATGGCAGTTAGTTTAGTTTTTCGTCTTGGGCTTCATAGTGCCTTTGAAAATTTGAGCATATTATTGCTAAATTAATATATTTGAATCCAGACTATCTAACATGTCAAGACCATATTTTCAGCATTCCCAAGGCTATACTCTTAGGTCTTTCCATGAACTTCCCTTAAATATTTATTGGGACTGTAACCCAATTGCTAAACAGTTTTATAAAAAGAGTTACTGCAAAATACTTCATAACCTAATAATCAATAATCTGTTCCAAATATTATAAAATGATGAATTTAGATTTAAAAATAGTTAAACATAAAAATGTTTTTCTTTTTCAATGAGTCATTCTGACCATTTTTCAAACTAAGAAATAAAACAATTAACATAAAGTTAAGTCAGTGTAGAACATAGGTTACTTTGTTTCAGAGGAAGAAATGTAGTGCGAGGTAATTTACTTTTGTATGTAGTTTTCCATTCTGCATTTTTGTTGCTCTTATGTGCCATTATGTTGTTTCTGACCCATGACAACCCAGCAAACAATGGTCCTAGTCTAGCATCGTCCTCACAATCGTTTTCTATTATTTGACCCCTTTGTTGTAGCCACTGTGTGAATCCTTCTCAGTGAGAATCTTCCTCTTTTTTACTGACCCTCTACTTTACCAAATAGATGATATTCTTTTCCAGGGACTGGTCCATCCTAATAACATGTCCAAATACACGAGACAAAGTATCACCTTACTTTGCTTCTAAGGAGGCTTTTTCTGTAAATTTTTATCTGTAAATTCTTACAAGATAGATTTATTCATTCTTCTGGCAGTCCATGGTATATTCTTTACTCATGGTTAAAATCATAATTCAAACACATCAGTTTTTATTTGCTCTTCCTTATTCAGTGTCCTGCTTGCCCATGCATATCAAGTGTTTGAAAATATCGTGGCCTGGGGCAGGTGCACTTTAATCCACAAAGTGATATCTTAGCTTTATAACATTTTAAAAAGATCTCTCACAGCAGATATGTTCAATGTACTACATCTTTTGAATTCTTGACTGCTGCTTCCATAGGTGTTGATTGTGGATCCAAGTAAAATGAAATCCTTGAAAACTTCCATAAATAGAGGAAAATGACAGAAACCATTAGTAGTTCTGTGACTAGTGAACTTTGATCAGGATTTTCAAAAATATTCTTATGTCATCTATGGACTACTCAATATCTAGATTGCACACACACAAACACACACACAATGTTCACTTTCAATATTTGAAAGTCATAAAGTGCATAGAAATAGCCCAATAAATGAGCGAACATTTTGTAATAAAGCATTGCTTTGGACAAAGCAAACTGAGATATTTTCCTCCTAAATTTAGAACAAGTAACATATTTGATTCAATAATCAACAAGCACCTGGACTATCTGTCAGGTAAGTTACAATTTTGTATAATTGTATAAGCATTTGTTATACTTAAAGTTATTTGAAAACACACAAAGCAATTTATTATCTTTTTTCCTTAGGTCATCTTTCTCAAACTCAGGAATTGACTACTCAGTTTCTTCACTGCCATCTTCATATCCTTGTTCCTCAATGTGTAAATGGCTGGATTCAAGATAGGTGTAATCAAAAAGTCCAAAATCATAAGAAATTTATCCACTGGCACTGTGGGAAATGGCCACACATAGACAAAAATGCAGGGTCCAAAGAACAAAACCACCACAGTGATGTGAGCTGACAGGGTAGAGAGGGCCTTGGACATGCTACCTGAAGAGCTTTTCCAGACACTGACCAGGATAAAGATGTAGGAGAAAATCAATAAGATGACAGTTCCCATGGAAATGAACCCACTGATGGCAGTAACCATGAACTCTAGTCTGTAGGTGTCTGTGCAGGCAAGTTTGATAAACCGAGGTAGGTCACAGTAAAAACTGTCTATCTCATTAGGGCCACAGAAAGGCAAATGGGCAACGAAAGCTAGCTGGGCCACTGAGTGAATGACACCAAGAACCCAAGCACTAACCAGAAGCCAAATGCACATCCGTGGACTCATGATGGTCAGGTAGTGAAGGGGCTTACATATGGCCACATATCGGTCCAAGGCCATGGCTATGAGCAACACCATCTCACACCCACCCAGGACATGAAGTGTAAAAATCTGAATAACACATCCCTGAAATGATATGGTGTTTTGACCAGAGGACAGGTCTGAGATCATCTTAGGAACAGTTAAGGTAGAAAGACACAAGTCAATAAATGAGAGGTTAGCTAGCAGGAAGTACATAGCAGAATGCAAATGAGAGTCAATAGTTACTATAAACACCACAAGGAGATTTCCCAGAACAATTATTATGTAAAAGATTACAGAGAAGGTAAGGAGAAAATGCTGCATTGGTCTAGAGGATGAAAGCCCCAGGAACACAAATTCAGACACTTCCGTGTAATTTGTATCATACATTGACTTCTTTTTGCCTGAAAAACCAAAAACAAGGAAATGACAAAGCAGTATATCAGAAATAAACATTGACAGAAATAGATTTAAATTGTTCTTAAATACTAGTATTAAAAGAAATGTTCACTAAGAGCTAAAACATATTTTGAAAAATTTATGAATTTGTTTATGTGTTTAACTAATATTCTTAATGAACATTTACTATATGCCACACATTATGTCAAGATCTGTGGTAAAACACAGACCTTGACTACTTGGGGTTTACAGTGATATGGTGGATCTAAACATTAGGAGCTCTGAGGCATCTGCCTGCTAACCAGAAGACTGATGGTTCAAACCCACCAGCCCCTCCACAAAAGCAAGACTGGGCAATGTACTTTTGTAAAGATTTACTGCCTCAGAAACCCAGTGGGGGTAGC